CCCCTCTTCTTATTCCCCTCCCCTATTCTTACCCCCTCCCCTGTAGCGTGGCCGAGCTGCACTCCGGTCCGCAGTGGCCGGCCGGAGTGATAGGAAGGTGCACGCTCAGTGTGCACTTCCTGTCAGTCCGGCCGGTTACAGGAAACAGAAACTCAGCGCGGAACAGGAGTTTCTGTTTCCTGTCACCGGCCGGACTGACAGGAAGTGCACACTCAGTGTGCCCCTTCCTATCACTCCGGCCGGCCGGCCGGCCACCGCGGACCAGAGTGCAGCTCGGCCACGCTACAGGGGAGGGGAGGGGAGGGGAGAAGCTGCAGCCGCCTGACCGCTCTTCACAGAGCGCTCAGGCGGCTGCAGTATTTAAAGGGCCCGCCCCAGGTGCCGACGGCCCACCGGGAAATTTCCCGGTATCCCGGTGGGCCAGTCCGGCCCTGCCTGTTACTTCCTGGTGGTTCAGCTCAGTGAGCCAGCCAGAGCCACGCACAGCCAGCCGCAGTGAGACCAGCGTGGATAGTGAGAAAAGGTGTTAAAGCTTTTGATATTGATTAAATATACATAACTATAATTATATATATTTATATATAATATAAAATAAATAAATATGTAAATACGTTAAAAAAAAAAAAAAAAATATGTGTAAATTCGTTCTAACTGTAATAATAATAATATATATATATATACATAAGTATATACATATATATCACTATATATATATACCTTTATATAAATAAAAATCATTTAAAAAAATTATATACATATATATATATAAACAAGTCCCAATGCCTGCACTCCTGTAGAAAAAAATGATAATGTGCCCGGTGCCTGTCCGCCAAAAATACAAAAGTAGGGAAATGATAGCACTCCAAGGACTAACATAGAGTAAAAAATAAAAATTAATTGTTATTCAGGTTGATGGCTGGTAAAAAATTTCGACGTTTCAGTTCAAGGTCCTGAAGAAAGTTCTTTTTTAGTAGCCACTTAGTCACAAACACTGGCCAAAATTGGCGTTCAAATTAGTTTTTTTGCATTTTTCACACACAAACAAATATTAACACTAACTTTGGCCAGTGTTTGTGACCAAGTGGCTACTAAAAAAGACTGGACATACCCCATTTGCAATACCTTGGGTTGTCTACTTTTGCAAATGGTATGCCATCATGGGGGTAATTCTCATTCCTGGGCTACCATACGGTCTCAGAGGCAACATAACCAATGTGGCAAATTTCAATGTGAAAAAACTGAAAAATTTAACATGCAATATATCACCCTGTAACTTCCCAAAACACCATAAAACCTGTACATAGGGGTACTGTTTTACACGTGAGACATCGCTGAATACAAATATGTTTATTTTATTGCAGTAAAAGCAAACAGTATTCTGACAATAACAGTTAAAATGTCACGTAGAACTAAAAGGAAAAATTAATTCTTATTTTCTCCCATTTTTTTTTAAAATTTATTCATATTTAATTATGTTTCATACCTAAATATAAATGAAAGCCCTGTTTCCCCTGAATAAAATGATATATAATAAGTGTGGGTGCACATAATATGAAAGAGGCGAATTACGCCTTGAACAGACATATAGCGCAAATTCAAGTTTTTGTTTACATTTTGTTTTGATCACAACGTGTACATTTGGCTCAGTCCTTAAGGGGTTAAAAACACCTATACCTAAATAGTGAGTTTAACACTACAGTTTCAGAATTACATTTTTTGTTCATGACAGTATAGTGATCATTTAAGGTATTATTTGAATTAGTGGGGGGACAAATTAATCAAACTTAAACTATTTTTTTTTATTTTACACCAAATGTTTCACACCCTGCTATCAACCCCATTTTGAGACTTCTATTATGACCCACCAAATAAATTGAAAAAGAATCATGATTTAATCTGAACTTCACAGAAATGCCAATCAAGTGGATTGTCAATATACAAAGCAAATATAAACAACAAGCAAAAAAATTATGAACAATGTGCATATTAATGTTGCAGTGACAAATAAAATGTCATTTTGGGGGAAACGCCAGCAATTGCATGCAAACAAGCTCTCGGAATCCCCTTTTACCTTCATCGGTGCAAGATTCGACCTTCCATACACATAGCTTACTACTCACTTTGCTAAAAATATCATTGCTAATAATATACTCTAGACAGACTGCCGAGCATTTCACAAAGTGATAGCCCAGGACAGCAGTCCAAGAAAGAAGAGTTTTTTTTCCCTTCTCATGTAGGCTTTTATCAACAATGCCTACTTACAATCTCATTCTTTGGCTACCCAAAAAGTGAGAAATTAACTACTGCGTTAAGACAGATAAGTATTGTGGGCATCACCGCATGAGTAGCTATAACAGGAAACGTTTAAAAAAATACAATATATGGTATGTCAAGATTGTCGCACTTTTTTTGTTTTGTTTTGAAAATAATAAACAAGAGGCAAACAAGATGAGCACTATCTCTAAAGGTAGTAGTAGGTTAAGCTGTAGGTTCTAGTCTGTGTTTATATTTTAAGGCAGATATACAAATCTAGAACTAGCTAAGTAGGATAGACTGGAATAAAGATATCGAACGGAAATTGTACTACAGTACACACTGCAGGAACATAAAATAAGGTAATGATAAAATAAGCTGCTATCTCGATTTAAAGCGGAGACTAACATGCTCATATAGAGTAAATACAACAGTTAATAGTCGATTATAACAAATAATGAATCAAAGAAAAGGATAATATATTTGCTTTGTGTTGGTTATCAACAGGAGTTGAACAGCTAGGAGTCACCCAACTGGCCGGCCACAGTGTGTACGCAGTCTCTTTGCCAAGCACGATGTCTCCTCGGTTTCCTTCAAGTGCTTGAAAGGATAGCTGATTGCCAAGCAGGTAGTTAGGGCACAGTTCACTGCGTTGCTGCCCCACAGCTCCCCAAGCCCAGGCCTTAAGTGCAGACACAAAGAAATATATACCCCCAATCCCTCAAAATAATTTACCTTAATAATTTGCCTGTCTTCCTCTGTCCAAGGATCTCTGTGCGACGAATGGCAGGATCATGGGCCCCCAGAATCTTTGGTACACGGATGGCCCTCGGGGTAGCTTGACAGTGGGTTGGATGACGGTCCGAGTGGGCCCACAGCCCAGAAGAAGAGCCATGTGTGAGAGCTGCAGGCCACATCAGCGGATCAACAACGGCTTTGGAAATTCGGGGCTTGCTTTCAATTCGTAGCCAGAACGCCCAGCAAGTTTTATCAAAGTTGGCTCCAAAGCAAGCTCTCCATGTCTGGACCTGCTAAGTCGCCTGACTGCTGAGATGCTGCTTCATGGTGGCCATTTTAGACCTGTCACTACACAGCTGAAGTAGCGTGAGTAGCATGAGCAGCTTTCCCAGTGGGGACCGGGTTCTCCCCCACCGGTTCAAAGGGGGGGGGGCTAATGGGGCTGAATGTAGATGGGTCCATTAGAGTTGCACTCCCCCAGCTAAGAGATTGGCCACTTCTCCCAGCTTCTAGGTTGGCAACCCGCTAGGCCTCAGTGTCCAGCAGGTATAAATGTAATAAAATTATGCAGTTCGAACCCGCAAGATGTAGTCTGCTCAGGTGAGTATATGACAGTAAAATTAGGCTTCATCTCTCAGGGTTTACAGTGGAATAAGCCAGTAAATAGCACTATCTTGCAGGAGCAGTTAAAAAACACGTCTGGCCATCTTGGGTGTCAGGCACTGTCCCCAAATACCCCATTTTTAAGTAGTCAACCCGATTTGGAGTCTGCTGGGTACCTCTTGCCAGCTCCACTACTTCTTAAGTGAGAGTTGGAAGCCCCTATGCAGGAGTTTCTGTTAGCTCTCCTGAGCTAAGCGCTAACTCATTGGCTGAGAGTGTTTGCTGGGCACTATACACATATATACCGTGTTTCCCCGAAAATAAACCCTACCCCGAAAATAAGCCCTAGTCGGATTTTCGGGGTGGGCTGCAATATAAGCCCTACCCCGAAAATAAGACCTAGGCATTGTACCTTTGCGGCGAGACTTCCTTCTTCTACTGTAGGAGGAGCGTTGCGGGCCGCGGCATTGCGCAACGTGATGACGACATTTCGCAGCGCCGTCAGTCTGCCTTCATGGATCTTCAGCGGAAGGATCCATTTCCAGGCGGTGAGGCTCCCAGTGGTCGGACTCGGCAAGGAAACTTTGAAATGTGAGTACCGCTACATATTTTATGTCTGGGACTGAATTAATTAAAGGGGGCGGGGGGTGAATTAATTAAAGGGGGGGTGAATTAAAGGGTGGGCTGGATTAATTAGAGGGGGGTGAATTAATTAAAGGGGGGGTGAATTAATTAAAGGGTGGGCTGGATTAATTAGAGGGGGTGAATTAATTAAAGGGGTGGTGAATTAATTAAAGGGTGGGCTGGATTAATTAGAGGGGGTGAATTAATTAAAGGGGTGGTGAATTAATTAAAGGGTGGGCTGGATTAATTAGAGGGGGTGAATTAATTAAAGGGGGGTGAATTAATTAAAGGGTGGACTGGATTAATTAGAGGGGGTGAATTAATTAAAGGGTGGTGATTAATTAAGGGGGTGGATTAATTAGGGGTGAATTAATTAAAGGGGTGGTGAATTAATTAAAGGGTGGGCTGGATTAATTAGAGGGGGGTGAATTCATTAAAGGGGGTGAATTAATTAAAGGGGTGGTGAATTAATTAAAGGGTGGGCTGGATTAATTAGAGTGGGTGAATTAATTAAAGGGGTGGTGAATTAATTAAAGGGTGGGCTGGATTAATTAGAGGGGGGTGGATTAATTAGAGGGGGGTGGATTTATTAAAGGGGTGGATTAATTAAAGGGGGGGTTCAATGTACATACCGGTACCGTAAATAAATAAGCCCTACCCTGAAAATAAGCCCTAGTGTGTTTTTTGTGACTAAAATTAATATAAGACCCGGTCTTATTTTCGGAGAAACACGGTATAGAGAGAGAAAGGATAAAGGCATGCAAAATGTGGGAAAATGCCATTGAGGGGTTGTGGAGACATTTTAAAATACAAAATCACTTTTTATTTTATTTTTTATATTTTTCATTTTTGCAGTGCATATGAGAATAACATGCATGCGAGAGGTACCTCAACGGCAATCCTCAAGCATAGGTGATTCATATATATAACAATGGGGACTTCTGAAATACATGCACAATTTTATAATTATATGTTAGGCAAATATAGATGTGAAAATTACAGTTGGAACTTTGCGTGGTATTAATATAGCAGAACTTGTAGCGCTCTATCAATACATGTGGGTACGAGATGAAGTTCATCGTGGGGGACATAGCTGCTACGCAACATTACACTGAGGCTGCACAGTTTGATAAACGTAGAACATAAAATTATTGTTTAACTTGCTTGCATACGCACCAGTCTGAGTATAGTTACTGTTAGCATTTCAACGATTTGACTATGAGTGAGACCCCCCTGTGATCTCCGGACCCCAGGCCCCAGTCCGCTGCTGCTCACCCTGTGGCTTGAGTGTGGTCTCGAGAGGGCGCCCTGCTGGAGCTTAACTTTCGCAGGTGTAGTATTAGGAGGAGGTCCTGCATCCCTCCGCTGGATACCTCGAGGTGAGGTGCGTGGCCCATCGGCAGTCAGTGGTGTGTGCGCCGGAGGCTGTAAGCGAGCCTTCAACTGCTGCCAGAAGGATGTGAAGATTGCATTGAGTTGGAGCTCCGTTTCCAGCCATGCAGTTTGTGGACAGGCCGTGTGGGCGGCATCCGCCATTTTGGAGAGCTTTATGATGGTAAGTTCGGGTCTCGGTATAGTGGTCGCTTTCACTGCTTTGCAGGGGTATCTTGTGGTGGTCCCTCCTGTGCCCGCCATTCTTGTAGGCCTCACCTTCATGTTGGGTGAATGGGGTTTGGTACGTCGCTTATTTGGTGTCCACATGTGCACCCCAATGTCACCGCACTCTGGGTAGCCGTTCTGGCCCAATAAATTGCCGTTTTGGCTTTGAAAGTCAGCGTTTTTGCCATGATCCACAGGAGCTGCTGTGGTTAGCATCTAATCTGTTCCATGGTCAGGCCCCGCCCCGCAAAATCACTTTTATATATTAGTTCTCTGTTTATATCAATTGATTTTTTAATTTCTTATTCAGTTGTGTTCCGCAGCAACTGCTTCCCTGTTATTTCAGCTGCTGTGGAATGAAACAGACTGACAGACACAAACACTCTCATACATACAGACATACACACATAAACACATATACACATACAAATTATCACATGAGTGTACTTTTATTGTCCAGTTTCCAAGTCTCTTTAGTTAAATATTATTCTTCAAATTTGCGTCATTCAGTAAACTTCAACCAGAGGGCAAAACATATATTTTATTTTACGTGAAGGGATGACATGAAATATTGTTGTTGGTTTCCCCTCGAACACGCATCACCATGATTTTTAAACTTCCTTTTTAGATAAAGCGTAGACCACATTGATAGATAGTTTAATACGTTTGCTCTATTTCCAAAATTAGTTGCATAATGAAATCTTTGCAAAAAAAAAAAAAAGAGAAAGAGAGAATCTCATCTTAAATGTATGCTGTAATACAATTACATTATATTTTATATAATTATATAATCTGTTGGACATAACTTCCATAAAAACATCTCTATTGTGTTCCAGAACTAAATTACTATCAGGGTTATTTGCTAAAGTGAGAATTCAAGGTAAATACTAATTAGGGGGGGACCTAATGTCCTCCCCCCTAGCCCCCACCCCTGAGCGGTGGGTGGGGGCCCTAAATACTACTTGGGGGGGGGACCTAATGTCCTGCCCCCTGGCCCCCACCCCTGAGCAGTGGGTGGGGGCCCTAAATACTAATTAGGGGGGAACCTAATGTCCTCCCCCCCGGCCCCCACCCCTGAGCGGTGGGTGGGGGCCCTAAATACTACTTTTTGGGGGACCTTATGTCCTGCCCCCTGTCCCCTACCCCTGAGCGGTGGGTGGGGGCCCTAAATACTAATTAGGAGGGGACCTAATGTCCTCCCCCCTGGCCCCCACCCCTGAGCGTCGTGTGGGGGCCCTAAATAAAAAAAATAACCCCCCCCTCCCGCAGGTGACTAGGGAGGGGAGTCGTTTTTTTTTTGTTTAGTTTTTTACAGTGAGCAGCCACAGGCTCACTGTTTAATAGACATGCCCCTACTCGCGGTATAGCGAGTAGGGGCATAATTTACTAATACTAAGTTATCTTTACTTAGTATTAGTAAATTTGGCTGAAAGACCAATTTAGTTCTTTCAGCCTTTTAGTAGATAACCCCCTAATACCGTGGGAATTAGGGAGTTATCTACTTATTCATACCTGTCATTACATTGACAGGCTGAGTAACTTACATTTTATATGAATGTGTGTTACTTGATTGTTGTAAGTGTTGCAAATGCTTACAGCTGAATCCTGGCTACATTGTATACTTTTTATTTACAATTGTATACAGTGTAACATTCTTCTTCTTCCACTGGGTAAGTAAATTAGTACTTAGGCAAAACTGTGCTTCGGCACTTCGGCACTTCGGAAATTCGGTAATTCGGCACTTCGGACATTCAGAAGTACCCGAATGTCCGAATTGCCCGAAATTCGTCCGAATACATTTTTGGCCCGAAACGAATTGCACGTCTATGGCACAATGCAACGTACTTAAAGAGGAGTAATCACCGTGGAAACCAGTGGATCAAACAGGCACAGTGCATTGGTGACTCCTTAACTTTTACATTTCTGCACCATGTTTCAGAACACAATGCTTTGATGTAATTATTATTACCTAGTTTCATGCCACTAATAGCATAGTAAAATTGTAATCTACATTAAAAAAAGACTCAAGTCTATCAAGTTTAATTGTTCATACATCTGTTTGCACCATTGATCCAAATGAAGGTAAAAAAAAAAAAAGTTTATTTTCCATTTGTGACACAAACAGGGGGAGAAAATCCTCCTTGATTCCAAAATGGTATTAAGATATCTTCTTGCATCAACACCTGTTACCACTTATGTCCATTATGATCTGTAATATTCTGGTTTTCAAAAAAAATATCCAGGTATTTTAAAAGACTCTACATAATCTGATAAAATAACCTCTTTAGACAAATAATTCCACATGCTTATTGTTCTTCTGTAGGCAAAATTTCCTTTCTTCAAGTCTCAAAGG